GGGTGCCCCAAAACGCGCCAGGATACCTGGATGGAGCCCCCACCTGAAAGCTGGGGATGGCAAGGGTCACCACCCCAGCCCTGTGTACAGGAAGGGCTGTCCCACCTTGCTCCCTGATCACAGCCCTGCTCCCTGATCCCAGCCCTGCTCCCTGATCCCAGCCCTGCTCCCTGATCCCACCCTGCTCCCTGATCCCACCTTGCTCCCTGATCCCGCCCAGCTCCTTGATCCCACCCTGCTCCCTGATCCCACTTGGCTCCCTGATCCCAGCCTGCTCCCTGATCCCACCCAGCTCCCTGATCCCAGCCCTGTCCCTGTGCCTCCTTTGATGGCAGCACCCACCCCCAGCAGAGCTGTTGCCCCCTGCCTGCCCAGGTTCTGCCCCACCACGTGATGTTCCAGGCCATGGCAGCATGGCCAGGAACTGCAGCCCTCCAGGACCAAGCAGCTGACAGATCCCACCTTATGGACCTCAACAGGCTCAGATGGCTGGAGAGCCTGACCCACTTCCCTCAGGCTGGGAGTAGGTCCAAACAGTTCCTAGGATGTGGTCTGCCCTTTTGTCACTCAGGGACATTCCCCTCTCCAGAACTATTCCCAAACACCACCAGGCCCTGATATTCCAGGCCAGGAGAGCATGACCCCAAAAACCCCAGACCCCCATCACAGCCAGTGCCCTCCCTCCCTCAGGGAAGGGGGTCTGGAGGGTGGCAAGGGGACTCTGGAACACCAGAGACCACCCAGCGCTCTGCAATGTAGCAGGGAACAGCAGCCTTAGACACAAACACGTGAGAGCAGCTCTGCACCCCTGGATTTGGGAAGGGCTCGTCCCAGATTAGCCCGGACAGACCCACAGCAAGGCCAGGCCCTCACCTTCTGCCAGGGCCAGCACAGCAGCCTGGCCCCCCACGTTCCGCAGCGCAAACATGGCCCGGTAGCGCTCAAACAGCTCCTGGGACTCATCCAGGAGGATCTCCCGGAGCTTGGCAACATCTGTCTCCTCTGAGGGGGGCGCAGGATCCACAGAGCAGTACGGGCTGCTGCCTGCCTGCTCCTGGTTGTTCTGCAGCCACTCCAGCCTCCTCACGGCCAGCTGACACGTCTCTGCCACCTGTGGGGACAGGGACACGGCCCTGGCTGCATAACAGCACTGGACAGCACCAGCAGCAGCCCAGCACGCAGCAGATGTCACTGCCATGTCCTCACCCACCCGGCCAGTGTGGGACCTGCTCTGAGACCAGCGATGCTGATCCCAGAGGAAATGGCCCCAAGGGAAGCTCACCTCGACCACGGGATCCTGGGAATAGCGTTTCAGGACATCCAGCACCTTGGGGTTCCCAATAGCACCCAGGGCTTCACCTGAAAGATGGATCAGGATGTAATCAGAGTGTCTGTGTGAGAAGAACCCTGCTGTGCCCTCTGGCAATGCCTTGCTTTGCTCTAAAGCACAGACACAGGCCAAACTGACCGATCCCAAATGGGGCAAACGTGGGCACAGGCCAGACTGACCAATTCCAAACAGGACAAACACGACAGGAGAAGCCTGGCCAACCTGTCCTGCCAGATGTGGCTAGAGAAGGTGGTGAGGTGTTACGTGACTCAGGGTTTGACATCCAAGCCGGATCAGGCCTCCATGAGGTGCCCTGTACAGTGGGGGAAGCACCCCAAGCCCCACTTGCCAGCCAGCCCCCTCCCCTGCCCCCAGAGCCGCAGGAGCCGCTGCCGTACCTGCCTCGTGCCTGACCATGGGCTCCTGGGCC